AAGAATGACCGCCAATTAAACCTCTTGATAGTCACTCAGGGTTATGACCTTGACAACATATGTCAAGGTCATCGGAGGTGGCTCCCCTATTCTCAATAATTACGTTTGACAGCGTAAACGGTAGTATAAAATTGGATAAACATGTGCAATTGTGAATTAATACGATTGATGACATTGATGTTATCAAAACTATGGAGTTCATTTTAAAAAAAACGTAATGATTGAAAATATTCTCAAGTTTTACAAAATTGGATTTATATATTAGAAGGCTTTCAACTGTTAAATGAAAGCTTACGCAATATGGAATTTTCAATTTTTCCAACTAAGGCTGCGTTCCCACTGAGCGCGTCACGCGTCGCGTCATCCGTTGCATTACGAATTGACCAATCAAAACATCCCATTTTATAGTACTATTTGTTGCTGTTTGCCGCGTGAGAGCACCCTGACTCCTCGCACGACGCATCGAAAAATTACTCGACACTTTAGTGATTCTAGAGATCCGCGAAGGCATCACAACTCGTAACTGACTTTCAATTGTATATCTCGGAATAAGGTGAAAATGACAAAAGTGAGCAAATTTATTAGAATATTTTTTAATTTTATTGGCCAATATTTAATAAATTTGCTTATTTTTGTAATTTTTACCTTGTTTCAAGATACACAATCGACCCCCAGATAAAAAAAGAAGAAGAAAGAAGTGATTCTTCCTTTTGTCTTCCTGATTCTCTTTTAATTCCGCATTATGAGACCAGTCACCGAGAGTGGAGCGGTATTTGTAAGTTCCAAATTATTATCTTAAGTAAATGATATTCCTAAGTTTCAATTATTTAAAGACAGTGCTATTTTTGTTGGTTATGTCATGCTTCGCCGTACCGCTTAACATAGAAAACTAAGAAAACAGTTAATTTCAAATTCTTTTTGTCTACACAATCTAGAAAATTAAAAGCTTGATTATGCATATATTACTGCAAATATTAAATGCTACATCTCTTAATTGTTTCAGATTTGTGATAACTGTAATGTAGTTATAACAGGCAGCGCAGCTGCCCAAAAACATTATGATGAATGTACGATTAATAAGGATGAAACAGAAAATGTTTTAAGCTCTCCTGAAAGCGATGAAAAAGAATTGCTCATCGCTGAAGTCTTCTGTAGGGAGCCTTTATGGAATTCGCAACTCCCGTATGCTGAAAGGAGTTATAATAAAACATCAATCATGTGGTCAGAAATTGATAGAATTTTAGGTAAGCAGAAACAAAATGTAATTTTACTAAATTTTTTTATAAATTGCGCATAAAATATATAAATAAAATTTCATTATATCACTTTCTAGATGTGCAAAATGGATACAGTCAAAAAACATTTAAATCTTTACGAGATCGTTTTGTCAAACTGTTAGCTGAGGAAAATAAATCCAAGCGCAGTGGCAGTGCCGCAAATAGTAAAATCGATTGGAAATATTTTAACCAACTCAACTTCCTTCGCCCTACTGTGGAATTCAGACCGTAAGTTCTTTATCATGCACAATATTAGAAAGAGGTTCAATTGCAAGTTTGCATATTTTTCTTTCACATGTAAATAAAAATAGTTGTTTTCAAGTCTTTTTGACTAAAATTATAATATTATAATCTTATATATAATATAACATTATAATATTATAAGTTATAAAATAATTATAATATTATAAATTATAAAATTATAAATGAATAGTAATTAATGAATAGTAGTTAGAGAAAGTAAACTGGAGAAGCAAACGTACTAAATATATTTTTTAAATACAGAACGATAAGCAACCTCCCAAAAAAACGTTCCATTAAAGATATGGAAACATCGATAAGTACATCTTCTACGCCAAAAAAAGCCAAGAGTCTCACGCCTGCAGGATCGTCGACAGAAGATTTTGAATCGTTTTGTAAAAAACATTTAGAATCAAATCATGTACCCGATCGTATTGGATCTTTTATGCTCTACTTAGAGTCTGAAATCAGAACGCTTCCAAATCAGGCGGTGAACAAGTTAATACGAAAACTAACGGAATCTTTGATGCAGATACAAGATGAGTCAACCACATAGCGAAAAAAAAAACAGTTTTTTAACCAACCATTGGTTTGATATTTAAGAATTTTTTATTGGAATATTTGACTGTATACTGTGTAACATTTAGTTTTTTTTAGTCTGCATACTTTCAGTACAAAGTAATTTTTATTTTATTTCTAAAAATGCAGACTTTCAGTACAAAATAATTATTTTATTTCTAAAATTTTATTTCTAAAATAATCTTTGAAAAACAATTTTTTATTTTTATTTTGTGACATTTGATTATATACTGTGATATTTTTATTTTTTTTATATGATAACATAAAGCTGCCTAATATTATGTTAAGAGATCACAGACTGTAAAATAATTTTTAAGTTTTTCTAAAAGTATTTACATTATTATGTAAATTAAATTATATATAATGTTAAATATTTTCTACATTTTATTCTGAGTTATGTAAAGTAGAACTTTTGTTAGACATCGCTCGTTGTCCATTGCGTCTAATGTACAAAATCCATTATACGTTAATATTACACAGGTGATGAAGGTTACGTAACGGAAGTTATCAGTCAGTTAGTAGTAAGAATAAATGTTATTATATAAGTGATACATACATTTTAATAAATATTTTTAGAATATATATTTCATACTCAGTTTATTTGTTCCCATTGCCAGGGTACAGCTCCTTCGATCATAAAATACTCAGTAAATCTGTCTCTGATCTCAGCTGCTTGTCTCGAATAGTTGTTTGGACCGGTATATGGATAATTTTGAATTGCACTTGTTTGTGGTATATTTTCTCGCCGCACATCGTTCGGCATACTACAATTTGCACGATTTATAAATCTGTCGTCACAATCTCTTGTCATCAGAAAATTGTGAAGGCAAATGGTAGCCTGTACAATTGCTTCGGTCGTAGCCAACGATGTGTTCATGGGCTTTTGGTAGATTCTCCATCGTGCTGCCATAATTCCAAAAGCACACTCAACCACTTTTCGTGCTCTGGATAATCTATAGTTGAATATTTGTCTTTCTATAGTTATATTTCGCCCTGGATATGGTCTCATAGTAAATGTATTCAACTGAAAAGCTTCGTCTCCAACTATTACGAATGGAAGTGGTTGAGTCTGTGCTGGATGAATAATTGACGGAGCAGGCAGATTCATTAATCCTTCATTGAATCGACGACCCATCTCAGAATTTTTAAAAACACCGCCGTCACTGGCGGCCCTGAGCTCCTATATCTACCATAGAGATCCTATATCTACCAAGAAACTTATAATCTGCCGATACTAAAGCCATTAGCACGATACTGTGCTGTCCTTTATAATTATAGAACGATGATCCAGAATTCGCTGGAGCCTTCAAAAAAATAAAAATATGGAGTATTACATTTTTTGAAAAATGTTTGTAAATACTATACACATGCAAGTATTAAATGTTCTCGAGCTGAAAATTTGTGTATACATAGGAAATCAGGGCATTTAATATTAAGACAATTTAGTTAAATCAAATTAGTACTAAAATTTAAGAATCACTTTTACGAACTGTCGTAAAATTAACTGACAGTAATTAAAGATAAATGGTATTTTAATGTTATGTTTAACAACATAGAGAATTATTTACATCCAAAACTGTGTAGATAAGCCGCAATTTTGCACGATTTCTTTTACAAAAAATTTATGTAAAAATTCAGGGATCTGTTTTTCGCATTTAAAAATAATAATTTACAAGCATTCGGGGATCGAGTTAATTTAATCCAATCGAAATCCTTCAAAAAAACATAATTAACTTTCAGGATTTAGACAGATGTTTCTACTACAAAAGAAATAGATTTAAGAGATAGGATAAAATTTCCGTTAAGTAAAAAGCCGTTAAATAAATAGCATGCATTCGTTCAAATATAAATTACTTCAAATGTTACTAAAGCCAGCTTCGACACCAATAGCAACCATATTACTTATAATAAAATTAACTTACTGTAATGACAACATGCTTCCCGTCCAATGCGCCCACACAATGTGGAAAGTTCCAACGTAGTGCAAACTTTTTATGAATGTCTAGCCAATTTTCTTGAGAGGGTGTTAAGAATACTTCTTGCATGCTATACCATATTACTCTGCATGTCTCTCGAATAATTTTAGATGCACTAGATATCCCAATTCTGAAGGCTAAAGCCAATGATTTCAAGGAATCTCCAGTAGCTAAATATCTAAAGGATTCCCGGAGAATTATTTTAAAAATTAAAAAAATTATATTAATAAAAAACCCAGAAAATAATCAAAAAGAAGTGTTTTATGATTTACCGAATTGTGAATGATAATCGAACTTCTGCACATATTGGCTCTCTTAAATGTGTTGTTTGTCGCATGAGCTGTGGTCCAACCAAAGAAAGAATTTCTTCAAAAGTTTCTGGTGTCATTCTCATAAAATTGAAGTAAGTTTCAGTATCATACAAACGGAGTTCCTGTATCAAATGTTCCCAATTCTCATGACTTCGTTTCGTTTGAAGTATGGGACGCATCCAGAATCGGCGAGACGTTTCATGTTTTTCATATACATATTTCATTTGTCTATGAAGTAGTATCATGCTAATAATTTTTTTTCGATAACGCTGTCGGTAGGCCTCCATAATTCTATAAACAAGAATCAAAGAAATAACATATACACAAATTATTTATTTGAAAATATTCTTAAAAAATGTTTAATCCTAAGATTACCTCACACAAATTAGTATATACCAATATGTACTACAAAGATAAGAGAAATTATGTTTACAATTTCACTTTTGGGGGTTTTTGTGACGATTTTATTGTTATATCATATTAGGTTATCCTCGCTCATGTGTTGCGTTGACTTGCAGAATGCCGCGAGTGCGGCGACGCATTCAGTGTGAATACGAACGACGCTATTCTTAAATTTACCTCGCGTCGCGTCGTGACGCGACGGAAGACGCGACGCGTGACGCGCTCAGTGGGAACGCACCCTAAAGCTTTCAATCAAAATGCCTTGGAAAACTTTTTTGGGCAAATACGTCAATACAGCGTACGAAACACAAATCCGACATGTAATACATTCTTAGGATACTATAAAAGTTTATTGATAAATACATATACACAATCATGTTCAAAATCTGGTAATTGTGAAACTGATAATACATCAGGATTTTTAACTAATTTAAGAAAGCTTTTGCAATTATCAAAAAAAGATGAAATTGAAATTAGGAGACACAATAGTAGCTTGGTGTCAAGTGTTTAAATAAACTATATTAGTCAAGCCATATCAGTCAAGCCATGCCGGGTCTCTTAACGCGAGCCGTCGCGTTGCAAGCACCCGAGGTTACGAGATCTTAATAATGGTTGAACCGATTAAGTTCCAAGTAGACTTAATCGACAGCTTGAGTTCGGTTTGTGTAATGAAAGTATTTTTATTTTTTCCTACGTGCCCTACGAGCGGAGATATTGTAATGCAAAATCCGAAATGTGGGAATTAAGAACTAAGAAACGTTATTATTATCATCGTCGTCGTCGTCGTCGTCCAGTTGCGGAGTGGGGAAAATGTCCTTTTACAATTTTTGACGCAAGAGGCGCTAGGATTTCTAATCTTGCAACCTGACACGCTCCGATCGATGTATACATATACAGTCACCAAACTAATTGACTGGACAATACGTTAATATATCGATCATTTCTAAAAATTCAAAGTAGAGCAACTTTGTCAAAAATTATCGTAACATAATGATCGAAAAAGCATTTTACAGCTTAAAGTCTCTACTTTTGAAATCCATAATTCATTAAATGATTTACTGATTCTTTACAAAGCTGCACGGATGTAAATGGAGGTGCATCAAATCTAAGATTTTTTT